GCAGTATGCTACTTCATGTAAATTAAGATAATTATACATCTGGCTAACGGTAGCCACACTAACCATACATCTCTGTCTCAATCTAATGTCTAGACCACACTAGGTATCAAACTACAGCAATTATTACACCACAGTAAGAAAAAAAATCCCTTAAAAGTACCTGGGAAATACTGGCTTCTGCACAATTTATTTGTAGAGTGTTGATGAGAATAAAAACAAATGATCAGGAACAAAACTGATGCACCACTGATGTGTATCCTCAGCACAGTTATTCCCAAGCTTCACTGCAATTAAGTGGTTCGAGTGGCTCATATATTGCTGAATGGAATGGCTCAAATACTTTACATGTGTAAAGTCTGTAGCGGTTTATCGTGCGCTTTATGACTCGCAGAGCTGAATCCCATAGGATACTCTTGCTTGGACAATATAAGGGAAATACTTGTAGCAACGGATCTACTTCCACAAAATAAAGTAAACGTAATTTTTGCTTGCGTATCTCATTCAAATGAACACAACTATCTATTTGAATAGGCTAACGTGCATTGGTGTTGGCTCTCTCACCAGCCATTGGCAAGCTAGCGTGCACAGTGAAAGAAATCATGGGATATCATCACATGCCATCTTGTGCTGTTTCCATCCACTGAAAAGTATTGATTAGCTTTTTCCTTCAGGGCTAGTGGTAGGATGTTCCAATAGGTTTATGATTATTAACTTCATATTGTTTCAGTGTGATCCATGACATGATCATTTAAAATTACTTAAATGTCACACCAGCATGAACAGGTTTTAAGATGCAACACCACCACTATGGAAGGATTTTATTTGGATGGTCAGGTATGTCATAGTTCCTCCTTGTTTTGGAACATTATGTTCTAAAAAAAACAAAACTGTCCTAACAAGCCTTAAAATGCACTTTGATTTTAAATTAGTTCAATAAGCTAGAAATATAAATCAGAGCATAAAAAGTATGCAGACCAAGTATTTTATGACACTCTTACAGCTAGTCAATCATTACATGGTACGTTTAACTACTGCTTTTGAATTTGTAGCTATATTATTAAATTGATTGCTAACAGCACTTACATAAGTAATTATTAAAAAACAAAACACAGTAGGACAAAATTTATACATTTGCTTTGATGAGTTGCATGTAATTAAAGGATGCAAGCACACTTAATTCCTTCTAGATGTACATTGCTGTTCCTCATAGTCCACGTTTAGATACAAAAGGCAAGTTTTCCACAAGTTTTTAAAAAGTTTACTTTATTGGTTACAGTTATATAAAATGTATCACAGTAGTCCCATCTAGCTGGTCATTAAGTGCTTGCAAGAGCTTAGGTTTTTTTTAATACAATGGATGAATTCTCAATATTCATTTCATGCCAGAGTGAAAAAGAGGACACCTCTCTTCATTTGCTCACCTGCACTTAAAACATGTCCAACAAGTCTACAATGTTCAAAAGCAAGGACAACCCCATTTGTATGTCAAACTGTAATTTTTAATGTTTTCATTAGAATAGTTTTTATATCACTCTCCAACAAAAGAACAATATAACTAACAGCAAACTTTAATACAAGAACACTCTCCAGATTAACAACCCAAAATAAAAACAAAAATGAAATTAATGTAAAATGTAAATCACATATAATACAATTGAAGTGTCCAAAACAATTTAAATAATTTTAAATATTTTATTTTTTAAACTTGCTACAAATGCTTTATACAATATTTCAACATAAAGTCCCCATAACAGAAATGTAACAAAATGGGAATGATAGTGAAAGTGAAAGTTAAAGTGGCACAAATTCACCAAACAAGTATTAAACTACAAATTTTAAGAGGTAGATTACTTTTTAAGTCAAGGAAAAACAAAACAAAAAAAGAGGGGCAAGGGGGTGCATAATGATACTAGCCACTTTCCATGAACCCAGTCATTAATCTGGAAGGCTATATAAATGCATGACAAATTGTATTTCCATGAAAAAAACTGTTTATGATCTGTAGGTCAATGCGTTGCATTCAGTTACTAGAAAATGATGCATAAGATCTTTTACAGTAATTATATATTTAACTTGCAAACTGTACATGTACATAGCCCCATTCCTGGCCTATTTATTAATAAAATGGTATCCAATTCTATAATATTCACAAATTGGTGCCAGTATTTCATTGCCATGGGAGGTTATTTGCATGTATAAAAGGAGATAGGGAAATTCATAAAATGTCCAAATCTGTGTTTTCCCCCACATTTACGTTGGCCAATTAAAAATGGGGCGAGGGTAGCAAGAAAAAGTAAATTATATCAGCCTAGGTCCTTCTCTACTTGAAGCATTTAAAAGAAAAGCTTCAAGAGACTCAACACACGACAAAAATACTTTGAGTGCAGCAATATTTGTTGTCCCTGAATCTACACTGAATTACTAATAAAACAGGGAACCTGCTCCGCAAAGATGAAATTGAACTTCTGTGTGTGTGTGCCTTTCATGAAGGTACGAGCTAAACGAGGAATCTGAGCTAGCAGGTAGGTCAATGGCAGCCAATTCTGTTTAGTCTAACCCACTTTGTTTCTTTTTTTTAGTACCCTTTTCTTTTCTGTGAATCATCCGGTAGCCCAGCATGTGTCAGGCACCAAAGAAGAAAACGTATGCCTGGCACTAAATGTTAGCAAGAAGCCTGCAGGCAATCAGCTGCATTTTATGATTGTGAGTCAGCTTCAGCTGGTTTCGCAAGCTTGGTGTATTTCACATCCATTGTCGTAGTGCTTATCTTAAGTGGAACATGCAACAGCTCTACCTTGTCATTTAGGGATTTTTGTTTTGTTTTTACAGGAGGTTCCTAGAAAATAAGAAACAAAAACTGAAGATAAATGACAAAAATAATAAACTGTCTGTGAAAGGGATATGCTTACAAAAGGGAAAACAAAAACTAAAGGGTGAAAAACAGACTCGAACACAATTTCAGAGTGAAGCAGATGGTTTGGAAATGCTTCTTAAGTTAAAATTTCCTGGGAAAGACAGAAACGTTGGTATGAAGAACAGAATCAAAGTCTGCCCACTGGTACCTGAGGGTCAACTAGTGCATCAAGCAGGGAGGATACACAGAACCCTTGATCCTTGGCATACATACCAATGGTGAATATTAGGGCTGTGCGAAGCTTCGGGTGGCGATACGATTCAGAAGAGATTTGGCCCGATTCAGATTCAGAGATGTCACCACTGAATCGAATCAGGGGACCAATTTAAAGGTCTGAATTGATTCAAAGCTCTCCGAATCTTTGGAAAAGATTCGGAGAGCTTTGGTGATTCGGGCAGTCCCCGGTGGCTGCAACAGACAGCTGCAGCTGACTCAGAACTGGTAAGTACCAGGGGTGGGGGAGGGGACCATGGGGTCTGCCAGCCCCCCTGACTCCCCCGTTCTCCCCCCAGCCCCCCTATGGCTGTTCCCACCTGCCCCAGCTCAGTACTTTAAAGAAAAGCCTCGGTGCTCACCAGGTGCTGCTGGGCAGGGGGGCGATCCCCACTGCCCCCCACTGCATGGGGGGCTCTGCCATGAGCCCCTCCACTCCCTCCCCAGGTGCCCCAGCTGGGTCAGCTCTGGCCCTTTAAGAAAAAAAGCCCCAGGACTCACCATTCCTGGAGCGGCCTTGGGGGCTCAGGCAGAGCCCCCCACATGGCACAGAGCAGTGGGGTACAGTGGGGATCGCCCCCTGCTGGCAGGAGCTGTGAGTTCGGGGGGGGGTTCAGTTTGTTTTTTTTCTTAAAGGGCCGGAGCTGGCCCATGCAGGGCACCTGTGGGGGAGCTGGGAGAGTGAGGGGGCCAGGGGGTTGGAGGGCTCATGCACAGCCCCCCTTCCAGCGTGACGCAGTGGTGGGCAGCAGGGATCGCCCCTTGCCCGGCAGCACCATCTGGAGCTTTTTATTTTTATTTATTTTTACACGTGCCAGGAGCTGGGGCAGCCATTGCGGGCTGCGAGAGGGGCGGGGGATGGGCCTGGCCTGGCTGATTCGGCTGAATCGAATCGGGACAGTGATCTGAGTCACCGAACCGAACCACTGCCCCCGCAAATCAGCCAAATCCGAATCGAACACTAGCTGCTTCGCACAGACCTAGTGAATATGCAAAATCTGTTGTCAGGAATTCAGAAGAAATACTCCCACAAGATACCAAATGTCCCTTTTTAGCAAAACCATTCATAAGACTAGCCCAGAACATATACTGCAATGGGGAACATGGGCGATTGGTACCTTCCGAGTCTGGGGGGCACCAGATCATCGACAGGGGGGAGGGGTGGGGGGCTCCGCAGCAGCCCATCGCCAAGCCAGTGGTGAAACCGTAAGTGCACTTCCGCCGGCACTTCCGGTTTTGCGGCTGGCGCTTCCAGGGGGTGCACGTGCACCCCCTATATATAGTCAATGATGGGGAACACACCCTATTTGAGACTATGTCAAAGCTCTCCTTCAGTAACTCCTTGTTCCCTGCAGAAACATGAAACACCTTAAGTATTTACAGTCATTTACAGAGGATCACTTTGCACTGCAGCTTAAATCGTTCATCCTGATGCAAAGATGTGTGCCTCTAGGTCCAAATTCCTCTAATCTCCACTATACTGTCTCATGAAAAATCTTTGGCTAGTAAAAACAGTCTGTTACAGACAGCACTATAAGAAAGCAACAATTTAGAGGCAAGTAATAGAGACATTAAAGTACTAGGATAATCTGGGCTGGTTGATTTCTCTTGTTCTTTGAAGACCTTGAATATATTATTTGTCTGAAAATTCAAACCTTTTCTTGCTTCAATTTCTTTCTTTCTTGTGTACGTGTATATCCTTGTTATTCTTTTACGGTTCAAAAGAACTGCTGTCTACTTCCCTTATAACCCACAGGCCCGTGCTGAAACCTCTTTTTTGAAACAAAATATTTCCTTAAAACTGCATTGGAAGGTATTTAAATCACAAGCACTGTACTGTAAGCAGGGAAAAAAAAAGCAACTCTGCTACCACTAAGTCTTGGAATAGTTTATTTGGATAGAAAAGAAATAAGACTCAGTAGCTTCTTTGTCCATCACATTTGCGTTTTGAAATACCCAGAGAAAGCAAACTTTGCTATTGGAAATCCTTGTTAACTTTTGCAAGGATATATTAGTGATTCAGGAGTCAACAGGACAACTTTTAATGGGATTCCAACTTCCAAAATATTGAAGTATGCTTCAAACTCTTCTGGTGATCAAGAAAACAGGTTTGCTCAAAATGAAACTAGTATATCACCTTAATTCCAAGCCTCAAATTTCCATTTAAGATAGTGTAAGAGATTTTTGACAGAGGGGAGCATTCACATATATTATTTGATAAGCTCAATTTGACCATGTTATCCCTAATCAAAATGTATGACACTTTCAATCTCTCTCAATTCTTTGAAAAAATCCTTTCGTTTTTAACTGTTCCCTATTTAAATGCTTTACTGTCATTTTCTCAAACTGTTTGCTTGCAGACAGGTATACAGGAGAACACAATGAATGGTTCCAAAAAGGTTACATAGCTTATTAAACCTGAAGTGACTTTTACTCTGCATAATCTCAAAAAAAACAAACAAAAAACCCAACCCCCAACTCCTCCCCACCCTGACAAAAAATAACAAACCACTACTAAATCAAATTTAAGAGAAAGCTCTTTGGCCATATAAATGCAATGAGAATTTTTGGTTGAAGATAAACTCTCTCTCTCTGCATAAGCTTTTGGATAAACTCAAGTTAAATATGGAAACTCAGCAGCTTTGAGGCAGAGCACTCCGGGGACTGACTGGCATTAAAGGATGAGAACACGCAGTCCTCCAGTACAACAGGTATCCCAAGAGGTGGGGACGGAAGCAGAATGGAGTATAATGGGATGTTGGAGGACCTAGCAAACCCCTGTCACGCTTTTTAGAGCACTTCGAAGATGTTTCTCATTTTCTGAGGATTGTTTTTGAAGCACTACTTCAGCTTATGAACATCTGCCCACTGTTTGGAGCGCTCCAAATGTTACGTCTATGCAAAGCCTGAGAGAACTAGTTAACATAGTTTGGCCAATAAGTACATACTTGCTATGCATTCATTTATTAAACTATCTGCATTACCCTGCACATTAGGCACAGAATACTTGCAGAGATCATCCACACTATTAGGTCAATGGATGAGAAAGAACCCTGACATACATATCTAATCTAGAATGTTTCATGTATAATTGCACACGGGATGTTAAAGCAAGGTCCTCTCTCAAATGACATACAAACTTTAAGTTAATTAGCCTTCACACTGACTGGTTTCCGCCCCCCAGGATTTCCATTTAAGTTTGCAGTTCAACCACTTTCTTCAGATGACGTTCATGGCACGACGTGAACAAATGCATAAAGCATGTACAACATACTCAGCCTGACTGAACTGCTAACCATGCTACAAGTTTTGCAACCTTCTTTAATTTAAAATTTGAGATAAACTTGAAAAAGAGCTGGAGAGAACCCCGGGTATAAAACATGTTCCTCTTTTAGTCAAACTGAGTGAAGAGCTTACCTGAAGTCTTTTAGTTCTTGTTTTGCACTGCTTTCATCTCTCTTGCTTTCTATTGTGTCTGCATTAGCTGCCTGCTGTAAGCTTCGCGTGACAGGTCCTCCAATCCTCTCCCTATATTTTACACTGAACCTGTCTGCCTTCTTCTTGCTTGCCACAGCAGACTTATTTGGCAAAACGGCTTTATTCCTCTGTATTCTTACATGCAACTTCCGAGACGCTTTGCTCGAGATTCCAGAACTGTTCTTAGCTACCGCTTTCGGTTTTTTCCCTTCAGCATGAGTCATTTTGGACACTCTCATGGGGCTGGAGTTCCTTAAAGAAGATGATGAATTTGGCTTTTTTGATCTAAGTGGAGGTATGAATTTTACATTTTGCTTGGATTTGAAAGATGCAGAGGGCAACTGAATCTGCGTGGGCCCCGAGGTTCGTGCTCTCGTTTTTCCCAAATGAGCCTGCATACTCTGCATTTTGATTTCGGCGTCTGCTGTTCGCCTACGCTGGTTGCTGCCTTTATCACTGCTTGCAAGTGATGAGGAACTTCCAGCTTTTTTTGATGAGCTTTTTTTCGAGGATGGGGAGACAGGTTTTTTGGGGCAACTATACGATGCGTGTTTGTTCAAACTTCCAATGTAAGTGAACTCTCTGTTACAGTACGGGCAGATGTGAGAGTCCGACTCGGATGCACTATTTTTCAAGTCGGCCTTCTGTTGTGCAGATTTCTTTTTTTGCAAGATTGCTTTCTGGACAAGCTGATTTTTCTTCTTCAATGCACTTAATTTTAGTTTACTAGAGGACATTTTGCTAATCTCAACGTTGAAATTAAGTCTCTTAGGTTGTCCCATTCGCCTGAAAGCATTCTTTCCAGTGCCAGCTATAACTACCACACCATTTTTAGGCTGAACAGTCTGTTTCAGTGGTACTGGATTTTTTTTGGGTGTATATCTCTTTTTATCACTGGCAGAGGCGCATGCCAAGATGTGTTTGTGTAATTCAGGCATGTTATCAACACTTTTCCCACATTTTGTACAACGAATGGCAGTAGTGAAAGTCTGTGGAATATTGTGGGTTGTGAAATTTGTAGCAGTGGCACCAATACCCATAGGATTTCGGTGGTGATACTGAAATGGAGGTGGCTTAAAACTCGGATAGTGTTGATTGAGGCCCATACGGACATCTGGGTCTTTTGCCTTTACTCCAGAAGCCATTATTTTTATGGTTGTATAAAGCTCTTCAGAGGAGTCATTTAGGTCTTCATCCTCCTCCTCTTTAGAGAGTTCTAAGGAATCTTCTGGTAGACTTTGCATATGTTCGATATTTGCTTTAGCAGGATCTGTAAAATTCTGGGGTCTAAGGGTGCCACTTTCAAATTCATGATGTGTGCATTCTTTATCCGGATGGAGATCTCGTTGATGCTGTTGCAAATTGCATAAAAAAGCAAATTCCTTTTTACATACTGAGCAAACAAAGATATTTCCTACCCCATGAAGCAAAAAGCGATGCTCTGACAAGTCCATTTTATCTCTAAACAGCTGTACACAGAATTCACATTTGAAGGGCCATTCTTCAGCATGAACAGATAAATGCTTAGTTAGGTCTTTAATAGAAAGAAAGGGTGAATCACAAACATTGCACACAAAGCTTTTATTGAATGTTTCTTGAACTACACCTGCTTCACTTGAAGTCTGTGGATCTTCCCTTGGTTTCTCATGTTCACTTTCCATTTCTTCTTGCTTAAAAGCTATGATGGGCAGGGGGTTTTCTAGATTATCAGCAGGGGAAACAACAGAAGAAACTACTGAGAGAGGAGGAGGAGAAGGAGATGAAGAGGATGAGGAGGAAGAAAAAGAGGAGGAAGGCGATGACGAGGAGTGCGAAGAGGAGGAAGACGACGAGGACGAGGAGGATGAGGACGAGGACGAGGAGGATGAGGACGAGGACGAGGAGGAAGAAGAGGATGAGGAGGAAGAGGAAGTAGAGGAGGGAGAGGAGGAGGGAGAGGAGGAGGAGAGTGTAGGAGGGCCAGGTGAAATAGCAGAAGTGAGAGGATCAACAGAAGGTGCAGGGGATGGAGAGGGGGATACTGTGGGTGAAAGGACGGGAAGTGGGGACTGTGTTGTAGCATTTGAAAGTGGTGATGGGCAAGGAGTGTGAGTGACACTGGCACAGGCATCTGAAAGGGGTAAAGGAACAGTGGGAAGGAGTGGAGGGGGTGATGTAGCAACTGTTAAAACAGGGGGACAAGGTGGTGGGGAAGGAGGATTTGTTGGAGTTAGGAGAGGGGGTAGCTGGCATGAGGATGATGCAGACGACATCTGAGGCAAAGGTGAAGTACAGGAACTAAGTGAATGAGCCTCAACAGAAGGCGCAGACAGACTAAGCTCAGTGTCGGGCTCTGGTTGTAGTTCTGTTGATTTACATGGACTGAGGGTCCTATTCAAATCTGGTGTGCTCTCTGCAGCTGCATCCATCCCGTTATATTCATTCAGTAGAACTTTTTCTAACATGCACGTGGTCGGTTTCTTCTTAATACTACTACATGCTGGCTGCACCAGATTATTTTCTTTATAGTCTCTAACTTCAGTGTCACTGCAAGGTTTCTTATGCACACTTAAATCTAATACAGATTCCCAAGGAACCTGGTTCTTACTTTTGACATCAGACCGTTGCTTTACACCACTGGACAAATCTAACGGCTGCTGGTTGCACACATTACCGAAGGTAGGAGGGCCTGCCCATTCCTTAGATATTTTGTAGTCTTCAAAGCAAAGAGGGCTCATGGTTTCTTTTTCCTCCCTTCCAGTCAAGCTCCATGCAGGCGAGTTGCTGTGGCTTTCTAACTTTGGCATCTTTGAACCTAGAACTGTATCATTCCACACAGTTTTCCCATCACCCAGTTTGCCAAAGTCCCGAAGGGCTGGACTGTGCTGCGGAGAACTAGGAGGAGAGCTGGTTCTTCTCTTAAACCTACTAGAAACTGGAGGCAAAATGGGTGATGATGCAGCAGGTCCTAATTTAGGAATTTCAGTTGATGTAGTTATCTTATTACCATCCTGTGTCTGAAGCAGTTGTTTTAATTTAGATGACAAATACACACTTTTTTCTTTGTGAAAAGGTAAACTCTCAGCTGTTGAAATGCTAAGAGGAAGATTTAATGAACCTGATGGCGTTACAGGTTCTGGATCTACTTCCGTTTTTATTTTTGGTATAAGAGGAGGACTAGCTGTTCTTCTCTTCTTTGATTCATTGCTTCCACTGCTTGAGGGCTCCTTGGGAAGATCATTCACATGCATCTGCGTAACCTTTACATTTTGAGAAATTTCCACTGTGACTGGAGTAATTAAACAATTTAATCCATACAACTCTGCAGAGTTGGATTCCATCTCAATCACATCACAATTGCTAGTGCTACTATTGGACTGAATTTTACCATCAATATAGTAGTTTAAATTTTCAGAAATATTGCTGGAAATATCCATAATGTATACATCATCTGCTTCACCTTCTTCTTCTAACTCTGTATTTGCTATATACACATTCTGGGCTGGTTGGGCCTGTTCTGTTTGAAGCTGTGGTTCTTCAATAAAGCATCCTTTTCTCCTGACACCTTTGGGAATAAGATGACGTTCATGAACCCTACGCTGGTGCCTACGCATGTTGGTGTGAGTTCCAAAAACCTTTTTACAATATTTGCAAGGATGCAATTCTTTGGGTTCCTTGTTCTCTTCCACAAAAGCACAATTTGACATTTCTTGGGAGACCTTCTCAGGATCCAAGATTGCAGAGTCTTGTGCAAGATTAGAAACATTTAGTTCATCTTTAAGACCGTCATCTACAAGTATTTGGTTATCAGCAATATTATCTGACTGCTGCGAGGAAGCTAATGTTAAGAATGGTTTCCTTTTTGGCCCTGCCTCATGACGCCGCTCATGCCTTCGCCGGTTAATCTGAGTACCAAAGGCTTTCCCACAATAGCGGCATTTGAAAGCATGATGGACAGTAGATATGTGGATATGCATGTGACGTTCAAGTCCTTGCTTTGTTGTAAATTTCCTCTCACAATGCTGACAGGGAAACATGAAAGTTTCCTGGAGGTCGCCATTGGATTCACCTCTTACTTTAGGAATTTTCACAACTGGCATTTTTTTTGGAGAGCTTTCTGGAGATTCTTCTGACATACTTCTTTGTTCTTCTGGAGAGTCCAGCTTTTCTTCACACAGGAGAGACTCTTTTCCACCACTTTCGATGGGCATACTGGCATCTTCCATCTCCTCTTCATCTTCGTCCTCCTCCTCTTCCTCCTCCTCCTCCTCTTCCTCCAAATCGTCTGATGTAATAGCTTCTGATTTCTCTTCAGACATTATTTGTTGCTCACTTGTAAGACTGGGGATCACCAGTTTTGGAAGCGCATCTTGATTTACCATCTCCTGAATCACAGCTGTTTGTTCCAATGAAAGCACAGCAGAAACAGAAGGCTTTTCATCTTCCTCTTTATGGCCTAACAAAGTCGGCAGAGAAAAAGCATTAGTTAGTTTACTAATTCACAATATCAAGTTCCTTTCTTCTATCCTTTCCCCTCACACAAGTTATTTAACATGCACAATCCCTGGAACGTTACTCATTCTATTCTTAGGATGCAGTCTAGAACAAAACTGTATTCCGTTTCTTTTTCTGGACTTTTACTTGGCCGAACGTAGGGGGCTCCTTTCATTCAAATACACTGAGGAACTGTGAAACCCTGTGACAGCACACCTATTCCAAGAAACACACTACTTGCTTTTGGTTTAATTTCATTTTGAAATGTTGTATGTTCTGTTCTGTTGAAAAGTCTTGGATTAAATTCAATTAACTTTTCTTATTGCTTGTTAATGAAGGGAAGCAAAACAGTAAGCAGAAGTTTTGCTCTTCACACCTCAGCACAGTTTACACCAACATTAAAAAGTCAGCAAAATTAGTTTGAAAGGTTGTTTTTCAAACATTTTTACCCAAAGCTATTTTGATTTTTGTTTGACCTAGAAAGATATAAAGCCCCAGTCTGGGTTTTTGCTTTTAAAAACAGTGTAATGCTTTTCTCATTAAACCAATTGTCCATTTCCTAACTTCTAGTTCCCAATTAGATGTAAAACAGACTTTTGAATCAAACACCACAGACTCCTCTTGCTAATGTAAAGCGTCTCCAAAAGCACACATGCATGCCAGTTTTATCTACTGGCTTCCAGATGCAAGTATCATCCACAGAACAACTGGCTGCTGACAAGCAGCGTGGTAACAAGCTATCCATAAAAAACTTCCCCTTTTGCCACTTCCCAGAGGAGCTTGTCAGATGCACAGATTATTATTATTATTATTATTATTTTGGTGAGTGACAAGAGGAAACTGGATGAAAGGAACCTGAACGAAAGTTAGTAGTTGCTGCCCTCACCACCTTCACTTATACCTCCCCCTGTTCCGGCAGTGCTAGGGAAGACAATCTTTACATTCCTGATATTTTTAAACTAAAAAACAAAAACAAAACCAAACAAAAACCTCAACAAACCACAAGTGGAAAAAAAAATCATACAAACCTTTAGGTATTTTAGATGCATCAGAAAGTGAAAAAGAGCATGAAGCCAATTTTTAAATAATCTTTGCAGGTCACCATTTAGATAAATCAACCTTGGTGTTTGTGGCCAGCATTTTATTCTGTTTGCATTGTATTACATTTTACGTACCTCAGCCCAAATGGCTAGGCAAGACACCAGGGCAGGCAGCTGCTACACAGTGCAATTAATCTACCAGGATTCCATGAGTTGCATCGTTGTCCTGTTTCTAGGATTTTACAGAAGAGGACCTATATATTGGAGGGCACTGGATTTTGTTTAACTTCCATATTAAACTAAATGTTCTACATTGCAAGAGTTACAAACTCACAATAAATTCTTCTGAAAACAAACTGGATTAAATAAGCTACCTACCACTTTAAATAGTTGTGCAAACAGTGTAAAACTACTTCTCAATAGATAATAAATGCAATGAATGCCTTTAAAATACAATTAACAAAAATAAGGAAGTTAGATGCTTGAAATCTCTTACCCTCTTTAGAGTCCTTCATATCTCTGGAAGTAAAATCTAAATCAGTCTTGTTCTGCTTTGTATCTGTTGCCTTCTTTCCTTTGTTTTTACCCTCTTGGGCTTTTTTCTTCCCTGAAAAAAAAAGAGGGGAAAAAATGTGTATTGCTGCTCAGAAAAGTGTGCGAGAGAGTGAGTGCGTGTTCCCAGCCTCAAAAAATGGCACATAATTGATTTAAAAAAAAAAAAAAAAAAAAAAAAAATCAAAAACTAAAACTAACATTCAAATAATGAATAAAGCATATGCAAAAAAGCACTAAAGGGCAAGGCACAGAATGAAGAGAAAAAGGTGAAAAACAACATATCCAGCTTAATTTGACACCCTGTCAATTACTGTAAATTGATAAAGCAGTAAGTGAGGGTCTAGATGAAAATTAAATGAAAAGCAATGCTACAATGAGCTTTCCAGTAACAGAAGATTAAAATAACTTTTTCTTTGACAACACAAACTCAGAGGACAGAAGTAATTGAGTTTACATAAGTAACTCACTTAGACCCAGTTACATGACACTTTCACTGGGATACCTAGATACCACTACCATACAAGGAATATAAAATTGCCTCAAATATTAATGCTTTACATCAATCTGGGGGCACTCAAGTGAGGATTAACAGGTCTTTCATTCTGCATCCTGTATGCTTCTATGTAGATTTTTTAAATTAATGAATTTGTAGGTGTAGGAAAGATATCAAAAGCAAAAACTGCATAGGTATTACAAAGAAAAAAAACCCCCCTCCATATGATCTTGATGAGCTACAGAAAAAATATAGAAAAAAACTGACATAAAGAGTGATGACATCTGCAGAAGCAAAAATCAGGTAATGAAGGAAATAGGTGATGGTTAGCAGAATTACAGACTTAGTCTGTTGCACACATAGTAGATGCTTAACATAAGCAGGAATAAATGCAATGATGATACAATGCCAAAAAATGCCAAAGAAACACCAAAACAGAATAAACTATTTATCCATATTGCATAAAACCTGAGCAGCACTCTGATAAATATGACAAACCTAACAAGACAGGAAGGGGAAAAAAACCCAAAACAAACCCTTATTTCTAAAGTAAGACCTATCAAGACAAGTGAAGACCTGAACACTGTCACTCTAGATGACGAGACGAATAATTCACTGCTCAAAAAATAGCCCATATGTGGCAGCAAAAAAACCCAGAGAAATTCTCCAAGAAGAAAAATGCAAAGGAAAGCAAGAATCTAATGATGTGATTTTGGACACAAGAAAACAAAAAGCCTGCTGAATGAAAGGAAAACCCAAATATGGCATCACCCAAATTCTTAGTCATTTAAGCCCAATACAGCATACATGAAATGGCTCTGTGGTATGCACTCCAAGTTTTTCTCCTTGTTTGCAAACATGGACTCTTGCCATGCACAAAATAATCAAAAGGGTAGGGATACTTGCAGTGTAGGGTGGAAACACATTTTCCTTATGCCTTCATTCAGTATAAATCCTTGACAGTCTAATACTTCTATATTACACTGTTCCCTTCAAGCACCTATACACCCAGCCATTGGAGTGATGCCACCACTTCTCTGCTAGCCTCTCAGACAAAAAAAAATAACTTAACACGCTGACCTTCCTCTGGCCAGTGAAACACAGAATTTAGAAACATACTCTGATACTTAAACAGTGGACTTACCTGGCATGACATGGTCTGTATGTTATCTGAAGTTGTTCCTTTACTCCTCAAGGAATTTTGTACTTCTGCTAATGTTTTGTTACTTCTGAACAAACTTTAAGAAATTTGTTGTTTCTGTAATTGTCAAAGGATGCTGCTATACTTCCTATGGGTCAGATCACTCAAAGTCACCTTTCCATCACAAAAGAATAATTACTATTTTTATTTGGATCCAAAAATATCAATTCATTTTTTCAAGGAGGATGGAGAAAATATGGATTCAAGTTTAATTTGTTCTCCAAAGCTTTCTTAGCGTGCTTCAGATTTTTTTGAGTCACTCGTTTTACCAGTCTTCTATTGCATCAAGAAATGACCTACGCAACTGAAACCAGGCACAGGTTTAGCACGTATGGGCTGCTCATTAATATATGCGATACTCCCTCTCTAACCTAGTCATGTTTCATTACATTACCCCAAACTGTAATATTTTGTTTCTATGGAATTTCCCTGGTCCTATAAGCATGAGAGGAGCCACCAAAATCTGGGAAAGTGGGGCTGGAAAAATGTTTCAGTGTGCTCTCCGATGTTCACAGACTGACTGAAATGAGTTTAAGCACATCTCTGCCTGCCAGCCTTGACAATTCAATATTACATCAGTTCATGCTTCTCACAACCTTTGCTGTTGTGTTAGAACTGCAGACTAAAGGACTCAAAGCTGGATACCGTCAGCCATCTGTGCTAAGCTACCTGTGATTCCTGTTAAAAGTAGACAGCAGCGTAGCTGATGCTCCTGTAGCTCTAGCACACACATTAAAGAAAATGTCAAATTAAAAGTATATTTAGAGAGGCCCAAACACTCAGCACAATAGTGTTAAAAAAAAAAAATCACCTTATTCGTACATCCTCTCACGTTCCAATTTTTATACAACCTTTGGATAAAGCCTCGAAGTCTCTGAAACAACTTTGGGCTTGAGGCCTAATAACAGCTCCTTGAAAACACCAGCAGAATGCTACAGCTCCCTCTCTCACTCCAGATCAAGTCAGGTTTGGAGTGAGGAGGAAAAGTGATCTCTTGGTTTACAGATGAAGAGACCATGTGTTCTGGCCCCCAACAGAGATATTCTACGATAACAAAAAGTGCTCTTAAGACCAGGAGTCTCTCAGGTCCTCCTCACCTCTGTGTCAAATGCATCAGAGACTTCAGACCGCATTTTCCTTGGCTTGCATCTTACTACAGGCTATTTGAGTGAGACAAATTACTGGGTGGACACTTTTAAACTTAGAGGGCTACATTTCAGCCTACTGCCAGCCTGTCGTAAGAACTCTGAAATGGAAGCACAGACATATATTTTGGTAATTAAGCTGTTAGGTAAAATTATGTGGAAAGCAGTCGCAAGGAGTTTGCTCTTACTTTTGTTATATGTTAAAATAATATAAACTTCACAAAACTGTCCCTTTACAGAAGAAAAAAAGAAAAATGCAATCCCAAAACTATGATTCTGAATTGGGAAATCAATAGGAGAGTAGGCTTCATAAATGAATTTTAGCTACTTCATCATCAGTTACTCTATGTCACTGAACTGCTTGTGATGTACTAAAAGTCCTCTTAGTTTCAGCGTGGAAAGAAGGTAATTTGTAAGTTCCCTGTTGACAGCCTCCTGCTTAAAAAAAAAAAAAAAGCCTAGTTGATACAGTTGGAAGTTTTTCAAGTTTGTGACCTTTAAACTTAAATACACTGGATGTGAAGATTCATCTAGTACTTGCCTTTGCTCAGAATAGCCAGCAAGATGATTTGCATGCACATATAATTTTAGATTTGTCAGATCAACTTCTGAAGAGGAATAAAAGATTATCAACCACTTTCCCAAGTTTTCCTCCGATGTAGAAGTTAGTCTCATCCTGCCATCTCTTTCTGGTTCGTAGTTCTTTTCTAAAGGTAAATCAGACTCTTCGTGCTCAAGCGAGACAAACCTGAAGACTGCCATGCTTTACCCACTACATTTCCAAGCAAAAGCAATATCTGCAACACCCAAAAAGATGGATACCAAGTGATTAGCCAATGATTTTTGTTCCTTAATATTCTTGCAAATTAAAGGGTTCAGGAGCCAACAGAAGCCCATGGAAGAAAAAACACAGAACAGAACCTGGTGGAAGCCTGAGTATAAGTACACATGTGCACTTACCATCAGGTTCCTGAAGGGTCCTACATGGCTGCTACTGCCAGCTGGATCCTCCACTTGGTCTAAACAAGAAAGATACAGGAATGAAACATAGGGACAGTGAAATGGAAACAATGACAAAAGGGTAAATGAAAGGTAGAACTCAATCTATATGTGTGTATAAAAAGAACTGCAAAAGAGAGATGCAAAAGAAAACTGAGTGAGAGAAAGAGATGGAGAACAGTCGAATTTCCTACAGTGACACAGGTCAAAAGGGGAATGGCCAACATTTATAATTTTTGGCTTTCAGTGGTGTTTCCATTTTATCTTGCCACGTTCAGTTAATAGAAAACGTGCTTCTCTTCTCTCTCTTTGCCTGTTTTTGTAATTAGTTGGGCCAAGTCCACTGATAGCTCTTACACTATTACAACATCACAACAGTGTTTGCTATCAATCACTGACATACTGTATTTACTTACATATCGCACGCATGCTTTCCCCAAAAGTCAACCCTCCAAAACAGAGGGCCGTCTTAAGTGGAAGGCTGATTTTTCTCCAGTAGACCAGAAACATGAAGACACTGTGCTTCGAGGTGACCACCAGCTTCTCTTAGGGGCAGCAAGCAGC